ATGCTTTCTACATTATTATGGTTAAAAATAATGAGTTACAATATTTTTTAATATAGTTAGATTTTTTTTATTTACTGTTCACAGTGGTGAGAATTTAGATTCAGGTTCTTCAGTGATTAAATTAATTATTAATTTTAGTAATAAATTATGAAACAGATACTGAGTAATAAACTTCCTAAATAAATGAAGGAATAAGAATAAAAATGTGCATAGATTTATTATTATGATATATTAATGATATAAGACACGTATATAGGTATATCCTTAGATATATTTAGTCTATGGGTACATCTTTGGAAATCTAATTTGAGTTATTGTCACAAAAAAGAGATCGTTAATAAAAAAAACAAATTCTATAAATACAGACAAAACACAACATATAAGCACTTATTTATGGCTTTGGTTAATATTATTTTTATCATGATCGCCACGAACTTACGCGGAATAAAACAAAACATTTGAATATTGTGATGATGTCATTGCCTTTTTTGGCAAGCTACTTGAATTCTGATGTCTAGACTTGATGTTTAGGCTTAAATGTGACTATTAATATTTACCGTCTGTTTCTTGTTAGGCTTCGGGTTGTTGTATTTAAATTAGTTGTAAATTTATATTCGATCATAAAGTACATCATACATAAATCACTTAATGATCTTTTTTCAATAGCGATAGAGATCTCTCTTTATAATGACAGAGATCTTTCTTATAATAATATGTGTAATTTTCATTCAGAGTTTTTGGAAATTTAAGTTATATCAGTATAGTCCAAACATAGATGTATTTAGAGGAGAGCAGTGGTTTAGTGTTCATCCCAGATTAAAGGGCGGTTTTTTTAGCTATAGGCAAAAACATGTACTGGGTATACATATACAACTCTTTTAGGGGCTAATCCCAACTTTAAAAAAACTTTGAAAATTAACTTGAATATACCAATGGATCCAGTTAATGTAAATTTGTGAAAATGTTTTTTTTTAGCCAACTATTTTATATTACATTTTATAGTACATTAGACAATCTACTTTATATTTTAGGTAATTTTCTATTATATCGTGACTGAAAAATCATGATACACCGTGATATGATACAGGCAATTATAAAAATACCCAATAAGTACCTAAATCAAGCCTAAAAAATATTTATTTCTTTTTAATTTCTGTAATATGAATTTTGATAAAATAACTAAAAACATAAAATACATTCATTTGCATAGTGTAGCATCGTTTGACATTGACATTTGGTTGACCTAATTATTTATTAATAATTAGTTATGTGCAGAGAACACTAACTTAAAAACAAACAAATTGCGAGGACATTGATGCGTTGTGAAATATTAGTCAATCAAATATAAAACTACACATGTAATTTAAATATTATTTTATAATTTTACAATATTTCAGGAATAGTGAGATCATTTTCGTCTTTACCCTATTATGACTCTAAAATGTACATAATACGTAGTTATATGATTATATATAATTGTCAGTATAGGTTATCAAATCTCGCTGCTACTCACCCTTGATGCATCAGCACCGATGCACCGCTGTCGCAAGCGCACTTTCACTTCTTGCGCAAGCGCAGCCTGTTGCGGCGCCCGCCTCCGATAATCATGTGTTACCACGATATTGATCCCACGTAGAAGCAATCATGTCAAAATTAGGTCAAGGCACTGATCATTGTTATTATTTGTGACAGATTATTACAAAGTTATCGATTAGTACGAATTTTTAATAAAAATAAGTAAATAAATAGATGTCCTGACAATATTGTCACAACACTTCTCGCTAGTTTGTTTTAATAGAACTAAATTTTGAAAAAGATTGTCATGTTTTATTGAAATTAAGACAAAAATATATTCGAAATAAAATTAATAACAAATCGAATTACTCGCATTTAATCAATTAATTGATTTATATTTATACTAGATATTAGTCGACTGTCTTATGATCATAAGACAATCGCCTGATTTAAGACCATGAGATAGTCGGCTGATCTACGGCGACGACAATAATAATAAAAGGTTACAGATATATTCGTTTTGTTTGTATAGTACTTATTACGATGACTGTACAAAAGTCCTCTGCATGTAATGCACAATGTATTATAAGTTGCATAAAAAACTTCCCATCAATGCATTGTGCTTTTAGAAAAGATTGACATATTCAAATTTTAATTCAAATATTCAATGTTTTTGCAACCTTGACAGTTAGCTCACATTAATTTAAATTGGTAAGCATGTGCCGCTAGAGAATCAAATGTCAGATACCGTCTTAGAATACTAATTATATTTATAACAAAATTAATTAACTATTTTACTGAAATCCTTGTGCTTATCACAAGGATTTCACTGATTGATACAAAGGAAAACATAATTAAAAATAAATTAAACTCTTAATAAATTAATAAATAACAAAAATATTAGATAATAACGAATCTTCCGTTCATGATTAAGTTATTATGAATTGCAAACAATATCTTTAATACAAGGGCATTATAATTTTTTTTTCGGTCACATCTAACCAATAACAGTTTATATTTTTAGGATTATAAATTAGACCGGTGACTTTGATTGCATATAAAAATTAACCTAAATCCTTGACTATACTAAAAACAACATGTATGAATACATACATAACGACTCATTCAAAACCATTAAGATGTCAAAAGATAATTTTGTTACCTTTACATTAATTTTACATTTTACAGTTTTTACAATTTATATAACGTTAATGAAAGATAGAACTTAAATTATATTATTTTTTATTAACTACTATGTAAGTGTTATTATTATTATTATAAGAAGGAGGGGCTTATCATATTCTTTTGTTTTCGCCCTTTTTTTAAAGTTCACTGCTAATTCCTATAAGTAATAAGAATTTTAAGATGTTTTTGTAGCGATGTTTTTTATCTCCTCAGACTATATATAATAATAAATAGGTATAGTATTACATTATCTGTGGTGACAGTAATCAATGAATTAAATAAATTAGAGATTTTCGCTGTCTTGTCACTATCACTTCATCATAAGCCTGTACTTTAACAACCTATTAATATCGCATTGATGGGCATTTATCTCTCTATAACATATATACCAGGGGGAAAGCATTATTAGTAATGCAGGCTACCGGTCCCCTTGCTAGCAAAATACACTGTCAGGTAGACATCCACGTGTTCCTCCCTGGAGACTATCGTGATGAATTCCTGATATATTCATCACGATGGGCTAACTGACCTGCTTTATCATCTCACCTGTGATCCCTCACTGGTACCCTGCGCAGCGCAGCCGGGATTACCATTCTATTGTCTCATCCAAAAAGCATACAACCCATATTTCATCAATTAACTTGTTTCCTCATCCACAATCGTGTTGTTTTGTATGCCTAGTCGTTATATATTACGAGTACATCCCTCTCCAAATATAAAAATTAAAAATAATAAAAATATCTTTTCCATGGAGATATTTATATTTCATTTCTATCGATGTTTTATAACTGTTCTGTATTACTCCTGTAATACTATACCTATCCTTAAAGCTATCTCTAACCTTAAAATAGATTTTAGAGATAGGGGTTAAAATTATTATTATCAAAGTCCATCAAAATCTTATTCTGCATATTTGCCATTTTAATTTAATTTAAAAAGGAAATAACTAAATTTATTTATACTACTACTAGTTCATGCTAGTTCTTAGAATAGTCATTTCAGATTTATGTAATATACATTTTAATTTTAGAGATAGATATGATATTTAATTATAGAATTAACTTCATAATATTATTGTACTGTTACCATATTAAATATTATTTATCTCTAGACTGTAGTATTAAAAGTAGCTTATATCCGTCTTCATCCTACATACCACTTGCTTATCAAATTTAATGTCAAGAGGTTTCATCGTTAAGGGGAAACAAACAAACTCCTTTCACATTTATAATATTAATAAGGAATACTGTGTTTCATCAACGAAATGCCGACTGCCAGCAAGGAGGTTATCGACCAATTCACTATTGCCAAACAAAGTACACGCAAATGCATGCCAATATTAGTTGCCGGTGACGCTCACTCACTGTTCTTATGTAATAGTGTGTCGTTGCGTAATAAAAAACTCGATCTCTAAGTTCGACAGTCATACATGCGCCGGAAAACAGGCTGGTTTCTGAATATTTTGCTTTCACTGTACACAACTAGTCTTTTTATTTTCATCTGGAACAAATTCTTTTTGAAGAATAAAGGTATTGTATTTCACAAAGGATTTGTTCTACTAAATTAAATTTCGCGTATCAGCTGCAGTTATATACCTACTTCTTATACATAATGAAATCAAAATAGAATTAGTTTAAAGGATTTCTTTGGGAAAAATATTTTGATTCACTGATAAATTACTCACTTAAAAAGATGTGAATGCTTGCAATTTCATCATGCAAACTTCTGTCCTCTAAAAAAATAACTTTAGAAGGTAAAAGCCCTTAAAATATTAAAAAAAAAAAAAAAAACTATAATTATACGAAATATTAAATTATGTTTTAACTGCATACTATACGATATACAGCCCGTTTAATGGAAAAGAGGATGATTCGATACATTGGGCATTAAATTTTTTCAAAAAAAAATAATACGTAAAAGGAAGGATAGAGACACCAAGAAAGGTCTAAACCTATAATTATCAGGGTGACTATGCGTTATCTAAGGTAGAAATTTAGATTCTTCTAAACTATCAAGAATACATGAGACGGGTTGTGAAAGTGAATAAAGTAAGAGTTATAGTTGGTCGTGATTTTGATTCTATAGGATAAATAAAGTATTAAGTTCACTATATGCCTTAAAGAATAAAACATCTAAATCAGTAAACAAACACAAAATTTTAACAATACAATAAAATCCCAAACATTTTTAATATTCCTTCGGGTCTACTAATGATAGTATAATAATGACAGTATGAATTATCAAACATAATACCATACGTCATGACCATTTATTTATTTTTTGTTTATTTTTATTCCCAGGTGCACAATTCAAATGCCCAGCTAAGGATGGCCAGTACGAAGACGACAGACAATGTGACAAGTTTTACGAGTGTGTCGATGGCGTAGCGACTACAAAGCTGTGCCCAGATGGACTTGTATTCGATCCCACCATTAGGAAGATCAACAAATGCGACCAGCCCTTCAACGTGGACTGTGGCGATAGGACTGAACTGCGTAAGTAGTTTTTTTTTTCTATTAATAGCAAACAAGTTATGGTTTATTTAATAAACAATGGTCACCATTACCTATTGACATGGCAGAATACACTCCAATACCTCTCATTTGTTGTCTTTTTACGATTAAGGAATGGTAACTCTATGTACTCATACGAGTCATCATCATCATCATCATCTCAACCGTTAACTACCCACTGCTGGACGTAGGCCTCCCTCATAGACTGTCATAAGGAATGGTCCTGAGCCCCCTTCATTCATTGACTCCTTGCAAAACATGTAAGGTCGTCATTTAAGAATCATTCTACCTCACATACTCATACGAGTATTGTTCTATTATTTTACCGTTACAGTATAAATATATAGTACAATTATTAACAAGTGAATTGCAATGTGAAATTACAGACTAGTAATAAATCTTATAATTGTGAATTAGGTACGGCGCTTTTTTATTTCTTGCCTTATTTATTAGAAATTACTTCTAGAAAAACTATTGACATATCAAGTATATCTATAAATCACAACATATTCATTGAGGTCAATTGCTTGTTCCTATAAAGTGAAGGTATTTTATCGTCTACCTTTGACCACCTAAGTCGATACACGTCTGTGACTTTCTAGGTCAACTAGCCACTGCATCAGGCATGTACTTACGTCAATCAAATGGACTGTCATATTGCACCTAGGTACGTTGTGGTACTAACATTCACTTAATGTTATAAATAGGCCGAATGTTTTGCTAGTGTTTTGAATACCAGCAAGTACGCAAGTGAGGCAATTTGAAATGCATACATGTTGAGGAATGCGCGCTTTATTGGTAGAATCGTGACTCGTGTTTTGAGTAGCATCGGATCGTATACATATTATAAATATATATATATTTAGTTAGGTTTCATCAAAATTGTTTATTTCTACTGCAATGTAGGATTAAGAATCGATAATTAAATCTAAGACATCGATTTATGACGCCTATGTGAATCGACATAACATTTGAAACAGTGGTTGTAAGATTTGCAAACTGATGGTGTTTCTTCCGTGTGATTTGAATTCCATTTAAAATGTAAAGTTTTCAACGTGTAAATTATTATATTATTTATATTATTTTAATTATTATTTATATTCTTTAATATAAAACCTTATACTCTCTCTCTTCATCCATTTTATTACTGAAGATCGTGTCCTTGAAAAGTGTCTGTTGCCTCCCTTATGATATTTCTCCATTTCGCACAGTCTTTAGCCTCTCACAGGGCAGCTGCATTAAATCTTATACATTACATTGTATTATCACGAACATATCAATTTTATTACCACGAAAAAACTGAAGTATTTTAGATCAGGTTTTGTCAAGGCAATGCTACAAATAACGTCGAACTTCCAGTAATTCGTGTCGTGAAGTGAAAGACGACGGGTGCAAATTTACTTCCTATATCTGAGAATAATTTCCTAGAATGAACGACCTTACATAGATAGCTCAAGGTCTTCGGTGAAACAAACGTTTACAAATTTAAATCATTTATCTGGATATAAATGTACATAATACAAATTGCTGCAATAAGTCGATTCTCGAGTTATGAATTCTTAAAACTTGTTATCATTGACATGATCTTTGGGCGCTCGTTTAAAAATGTATCGAATTTTCCTCAATGACTTATTCGAACGGTTTATTCGTCTTAAACATTCTTCGCATACAAATAACCAAATAATATATTATATTAAATTAAAAATATATAGTTCTTTATGAGTAATATACGAGTATATACTTGTACTATTTACCTTGAACTTTGGAGATTTCACTGCTTGATGATATTGTCAATAATAAAATCGTATTTAAAATATATCTCGTTTTTTTTCAATTTTCTATTTGGAAACATTATATACATTACTATAAAATAAGACAAAAAGAAACATGAAACAGTCCAATAAGATGAACTGCGATAGGGATGTTCTCTTATTTTCGAAACAAAAGATAACATTACCAACAATTGAAGTTATAGATAATTGATAAAGTCGATAGTATGAAGTCTGTCTTGCATTACGTTTTTAGTCAATTTAAAAAGTAAATGTGCACATAAAAATATTCATTAATGTTGTAAAGTTTAAATATATAAAAATATGAGTATTTTATATCCAAAACATCTTTAAGTATCTTTTGTTGTTTTACAGAACCCCCCAAGCCCACGGGTCAATGTCCTCGCCGCAACGGCTTCTTCGCCCACCCTGACCCAGCAGTATGCAACGTCTTCTTTAATTGTATTGAGGGTGAAGCCACTGAAGTGAAGTGTACAGCTGGACTTCATTTCGATGAGTATTCAGGCACATGCGTGTGGCCTGATGCTGCTGGTAGACAGGGCTGCAACGTGCAAGACAGTAAGTTGATTTGTTATAATACTATTATTTTAGACCCGAAAATATTTTAATTTATTGGATATATTTAATCACCGTTGGTAATTGTAATTAAAAATTGAAACAGAGGCATGTGTTCATTCTGATTCCAAAAATCTTTAAGTATGTTATATTAAAGAGACGACGACTTTTTTATAAATTCACAATTATTAGAATTTGAATGGTTTTTGTTATATTTTTATTATTACAGACACATTAATATTTTTTGGTTAATTTAATTTTTAAATATTTAGTAAATAAAAAAAGTATTTATGAAGAACTTATTTAAAATTTTGTCATGCAAAAAATCAGCCATCTTTATTGGTTCAGAATTGGCGAATATCTCGCATAGCACATGTACAAAAATTACACAATTTTTCGAAATTACTCAAAAGTATTAAAAGAGCCATTGATCAAGTAATGAAACCATAGATCAAATGTACTCCTCAAATATAAGACTAACAAGGGAAAATAATTTTTAGAGAAACTCAAGGACGGGTTCGAGTGCCCCAAGGAGCAACAAGTAGATGCCCAAGGTCTGGTGGTGGCTCACCCCAAATTCGCACACCCGAGTGACTGCCAGCGATTCTACGTGTGTCTCAACGGCGTAGAGCCCCGCGACCTTGGTTGTCAAGTTGGCGAGGTATACAATGAAGAGTCGCAGAAATGTGATGCCCCCGAGAATGTACGAGGATGGTTAGTAACTAATTTATTTACACTTTATTTATCTTCACATTAAGTTTCTTGCAAGGTAGGCAGAGAAAACTGGAAATCAAGGTATTTATCCTTCATACATTTCTTGCTTGTTGTACTTATAACTCGTTTATAAATGCACAGCACTTTCCTAAATTAAAAAGCGTTCTATCAAATTATTCTTGATTAATATCACTTAAAAGTATTGATGAATATTTAGACTGATATTTGATCAAACAACCAATAGAAGTAGTATTCAGTAATAAAACGTGATTTAGGGCATCTACTGAGTGTATCAAGAATAGTTGAATTAGAGATGATGTGGTTTAAAGAGATTTACGTAAATTTTTTTCCAATCATAATTGTAATAAATGTAATTTTTTTTTTATACAACTTAGAATGGCAAACAAGCTGACGGCCCACCTGATAGAAAATGGTAACCGTCGTCTATAGACAAGTAGTACCATGGACATAACAGAGTATACTGTTTCGCCTAAGATACCTCCCATGCGTTGCCATTCCTGAGGACTCAGGTGTTATTCCTCTGTACCCAGTAAATTTGCGCCATATCCCATCCTTCAAACCGAAACACAGTCATGCAAACACAGTTGCTTCACGGTTGAAACACGAATGGGACAGAGGTACCCAAGCAATCGACTTTTGTACAAAGTCTCTCTCTGGTAAATTGTTGTACACTTTCTTAATCGATATTCAAGAAGTCGTAACTATCTGGGAAGCTCCTTCCAACAAACGGTTTGCAGACTTTTTATGGTAAATAAATGACTGACTGAATATTCTACATGGTGACTGTGTCTATTAATCGATTTAATGAAATACCTCTGCTCCTTTTTCTCTAAATGTAGCCAACCATCGTTTATTCATATATTATTTTATTGGCAAACAAGCTGGCTAATGATGAATGATGATTTGATTACTATCATGTACATCACAGAATATTCTGTACCCCGTACATGTTCCTATTCCTGAAGACTAAGGTGTTAGGTTTATTGTTTTGTGATTACCGGTTTCTATCAGGTGATTCAGTCAAATTACTTACTTTCAAGTATAAAAATAATTAATTTCCTTTTCTACTTGTTCACAGCGAGGACTGGTACAAAGATGCAGAGGACGCCCCAGCACCCAAAGCGAGGTCCTAAGACTCTTTAGTGATACTGATAATGTAGCCTACTTTTAAGACTTATTAAGTTAATAGATAAGTTAAACAGAAAAGTGTGTCAATTTTATTTATTCCCTTTTAGTTGTATTTTTTTTTTTCATCTCATTAAAAAAAATATGAATAAATATGATAATAAAATATGAATGTGTAACAAAGAATGGAATAGTAAGAAAAGATGAGCGTTATCGGTATACACTGTCGGGGTACCAATGAGAAATGATAGGCAATTATAAACTCAGGACAGTAAGCCTATTGTGATGTATTTACCACGAATTAACCAAACAACGACGATGGTTTATTACCAGGTTGACTGATAGGGAATGCCTATAGCATTAAGTTTGTACCACACTTTATTGCCCGAATAAAGTTTAAATAATTGGTCTCCAGAAAGGACCACGTGGAGATTTAATATATATGACCGATTAGATGTAGGATGGTAGCATTTCGTGACATTACGTCGACGTATATAATAACCGATCTTCGGCGCAGTGTAACCGAGAGTAGCAAATTGTATACAATTTGATGTATAGCGTGGCGTCGCATATCGTCAGCGACAGAGGAATCACGCTAATATCGAATATTAGAATTTACAGACACATATCACGAACATCCGAATTCTCATAGCTATTGCAAGCCAGACAGAACGAGCTTGTTCAGTCAGTGCCAGTTCATTTTATTGACAATATCTATGGGATCCTTAATTACCCCATATTTTATTATAGCAACTACAGTTGCTGTATTATTATTGCTTGTAAAATGAGATAACTCGTAGTATTAAACTACATAGGTGTTATTAAAATATTTAGCTTAGTACTTGTAGTAAACATAGTTATTATCACATTTAAACGACATTGTACCTATCATAAATTAATTTCTAATTCCAAAATAATCACTACTATGCTACCATAAATATCATAACAGTTAACTGGTATGGTTAGTGTGATAGTTTAACATTGCCGTTAGATGGCGTAACACGTACTCGGAATAACATTAAATGGTAAATAATAATAGACTTAAAAACATTAAAAGATCTCTATAACAATTGATAGATAGAAAACATTGAATTGAAACTGGGTTATTATTATTTGTTTCATTTTAAAATAATAGAAATATTATTATTTATTATTATTTATTTATTAATATAAATATGTGTACATGGCGGACTTAATGCTAAAAGCATTCTCTCCCAGTCAACCATAGGGAAGTGTCAGAATACTCGAATGCGGTACTACTAATTATTGATATACAAACATACTAAAATTACATATATAAACGAATAAATATATATGAATAACAAATATACTTACACATATATGATATATACTATATTATACACGAATTTGGGAATAATATAAAGTACTTACTGCTCGGATAAAGATAAAAAGTTAGCGTAAACGCTTTTTTTGAAAGACGGTTTAGTCGGTAGTCTCTTAATAGCATCAGGAAGCGCGTTCCAGAGTCGTGAAGAATGTAGGAGAAAATATATACGGATTAATTATGGTTCTCGTCTTTATCGGAACTATTGGGATCTTTAATGTCAATATCTCCTATATGCGAAGATCATTCATCATCGTCATGAAATCATTTAAATGATAAGGTCATCTTAGCATAAAAAAAGCGAGTTAGATACTGAACAAGATAAATATATATATTTGACTTATCGAATACTGAAATCGAATGCTTGAAATGAGATTTTTTTAACAACAATTTCAGCGGCGAAAGCTTATTAATTGTCTAGGTACTCTACATTGACTGACACGAGAAAGTTACATTTATAATTGTCTTTCAAATCGATTTACTAATCGATATAATTACAGTCGAATTTAATATATATACAATAACATTCATTCCAAAAAGTGTTACAACAATTGGGTGATAAATAAATCAGTTTCTTTTCACTATATCAATATAAATATTGATAATTGCCCAGTTTTTTTCAATCGACTTCAAAAAGAAGTAGGTTTTCAATTCGGTTGTATTTTATTTTTGGTATCTCATAATTCCGTCAGTTGTAAACCAATTTAGCAAAATCTTTTTTTTATCTGAAAGGATATAATTACATATTAGTCTCATGGAAATTGAATCAAAATCGATTCAGTAGTTTAGTTTTAAATCTGGTTTTAACATGACTGTAATCATTTTTTTGTAAAGTAATCTTAATTTTTATTATAAATTACGAGTAGTACCTAGTAGATTAATATAAACGTTGTTAGTGAAAAGGTGTTATGTATTGTCGCACCATAACTATGTTTGAAAGGGAACATCAGTATGTTATACTTTAAAAAGGTGGAAATAGAAAAAAAATCATCTACAAACAGATAAATGAAATTTAGTGAAATGTTACTAGAGGTTGAATAAAAGTGACACATCTCGCTTGCATTACAGTATATTTAATGATATCTATAGTTACGCGATAGTTTTTTTTTTAAACAGATGAATATAGAATGGTGCACCTGCCTATGCTAATGGTATACAAAGACGGGACACGAGTGGAGAATGAAATGATGAAGATGAGGTTACATTAGCCCATCGTGGCGAATTCAATAGATTACAATTAATTATAACCACGATGGTTTCCAGTAGGGACTGCATAAAGGTCGACTTGACGGTGTATGTTACTAGCGATGAGAACTAGTATTTTCATTACTAACAAACCTTCCTCCCTCTTATAGGCAATGGTTACCACTTTCCATCAGATAGGCCGTTAGCTTGTTTGCCATTTTAAGTTACATAAAAAAAATTACAATCGCACAATCACTCATCCCACTTCTACAATACATAAATGAGATAGATAACGCAACAAAGGCTCGATATTTCAATAACTACATTTGAAATTAGTCACAGCGCAAGCTGGAGCTTTTGTATTGTACGTTGTTAACATGTAACTGTGTCAAAGACAATAAACTTTCAAAAATCCGCTCCCCATCACTATGGATTCAACTTTTAGTTGACATTTATAATGACCTTTAAGTTCACACCAGTGGGTTCGTGTTAAGAATTAAAGTAATTATTGGCTGAAATTTTATCTCACACGCAATATTCGAGATAAAATTTAACACGAAGTAGGTGTTCGTGTAATATTTAATTACATTTTAAATTAATCAGTTTAGATTGTAAATATATTTGAATGTATGTATTAACTAAAAAAATTATAACTAAAGATATTTAAATGTATAAAATAACAAGCCAATAGTGTATATAATAAATATTTTCTTCGCCAGGAGCGGACAATACGAGAAGTTAGAGGCATATAATAGGCTACCCCTTTCTTTTCCGCGGGTATCCTAAGAGACGACTAAGTGAACTTAATAGTAGAGGGATAGGCAGCAGCGTCGCTCTTCAAACATCACCAAAGCCTAACTGCGGTTGCTAATCCACCTGCCAAGCGTGACAATTCCTGGCAAAAACCCCAAATGGGAAGCTTATATTCAGCAAAAGATAGTTAACGATTGATATGATAAAGCGATGAAATGAATCCTAGATTAGTAGGTAGAATAAATACTTTCTATCTTAACACACGTGGTAAATCCGCGAGATACAGCTAGTATTTATATTGAACTATTCGTAATAAGGAAATTATTATTATATTTCCTTTAAATGTTCTCGTGATGTGTCAAACCATTTAGTTTGCTATAAGAGAAATTAAAGTTATTATCTATTTACATCTAATGACAAATGGTAACCGGTAATGAAAGTTCAATAGCGTCACTGTTACAACAGACGATGGTACTCAGTGAAAGGATGTCTGGTGCATCATTTAATAGTTAAGTTGCCTAAGATTAGTTTAGTCTGCAATGCAAATTACTTTGTATTAGTAGGTAGATAATTAAGTAGTAATGTCATTACTGGCTCAGGTTTAATTTGTTATTTAATTTCAAAATTGTTATTGATCATGTTATTGTTTATTATTGTCGTGGATACCATTTAATATCAATTAAAACATTCGGAAAAATTATAATAAAAATTTTTATGGTTAAGGTTTCGTAAATGTATATTATTTATTTACTACGATTACTGTATAGTAAATTATTTTAAAATATTGTCATTACCATATATGTATATACATGATAATTTTAAAATAATTTCTTTAGTAAAATCATAAAACGAAAATTACCTACACACAATAATAAGTAACCTTGTTGTCAATTGAAAATGTTATGCCGTTTCTGGTAACTGCCGATTGCTCAAGTCATAAAATATTACGCACTAAGACCTTTAAAATGTGTAGGTACATTCCTGGATACTGCAATTTTTTTTAATAGGTCATTATTTGGACGAATGTTACTGTAATTGCGAAATTTTAAAAATAGGTTGCCGTTCCGAATATATGGGAACGAGAGGCTAAAGCTACAAGTTCCAAGATTACACGAGCAGCTATTTTTTTAATGTTAAAACAGCCTCAGCACAGAGAGCTGTCTGTGGCCTGTATTGTGTCTAAATGTTTTTTTAAAAGGGCAATGACCCATTAATATCCCTATAATAATTTTAAGATTCTTCTTATTGTTGAATGATAATTTAGATAAGAATAAGAAGAAGATTTGAGGTCTCTGATATTACGCCTCCGTACCCTGTAATTTCACTGTCATATTCTACCTTTCAAACCAAAAATACAGCTAAATACTGTGATACAATAAAAATATAAGTGAGACAAAGGTGCCTACTGGCGAATTTTATACACAATACTTTACTGATGCACAATAAAAACTAGAAACTAAGATAAAAAAGATATATCATACAGACAATATTAAAAATAGCCCATACCTGCATATAAACAAGTTTGCGAACTCCTACCTGAGCCGTTCTTTAAGTTTGTAGAATGACCTTTCCCGTGATGTGTTTCCCTTCATTCTATAACCTTGGATCCTTCAAACATAGCGTGAAAAAGTACTTCGTAAGGTCGTATAGTGCGGCCAACGTTCGAAGAAGAATTTCCTCTCTTCGATTGATCGCATTCCACCATATTGTTCCTATGTTCACTCAGGATCATACGATAAGATGTTGTGCTATTACAATAAATGGTTTATAACGTATTTATTCTAGAAAAAAACGTTTTACGAAATAATTACAGACATCTCCGTCCTATTTCTGCTTCAAACTATCAACAGGTGATTCCATGGGTATTCTGTGATATTCATCGCTTCCGTTTACAGATAATATAAATTTAACAACTTTCTTCAAGTAAATTATTGAAATGTTTGATATTCCAAATTGTATATAAAAATACCATTTACTCACATAAAACTTGGATAATGTGATATAATTAATAAACCGGATATATCTTGTTTGTTAACTATCACATTGCTGGTTCAAGGATACAAGTTCATCTAGTTTATTTAAAGAGATTAGTCAACGTGATGGAATGCAATATGTATCAAATAAACAAAATTGCCAAATTAATTGGACTCATTATAATATGGAAGTGTTTTAAGTTAAACATGGACAGTTTTTTTTATTTTTATTTAATTATAGAATGCAGCTGTATTAATTTAGATGCTTATTAGTTGTTGTTAAGATATTCTGTAAACGGTATTTTGAGTTTCTAATAAAGTATGATTTGAAAAATATATTTTTTTTTGGATCACGTCTGATTGCTCTTCATTATAAAAGTGATGACAACACGTGAGATGAAAGGTCCTTATCAAGAAGATAACTGTTCAAAATTGGTTTGGATAATTCACGATTATATTAATTTTTATTAATCAATTATTTTATCCATCAATAGATATGTGTTGACGAGACGAGACTGTCAGTAACGGGAACTATTGACCATCGTAAATTCCTGGTGATTGTTTTTTACCACTATTGTGGCAAACAAGCATACGACCGACCTGATAGTAATCGGATATCCTAGCCTATGAACGCCTGCATTACTAGAGGCATTATGCGCGCATTGCCGACTCTGAAGAAACCTCTTTACCTCTCTTTTCAAAGAATCTCATTCTGCAGTCTCTTGTAAAAAGCTCGACTGGGAGCTCATTCCATAGCCTGAGCGTTCATGGGAGAAAACATCTCTGAAACCGCGCTATATGTGACCATCTAAGCTAAGATATGGAGGCGAACTCTTTGTCGATAGCGAGCTGTTGTATAGTAGAAAGTCATATTGACCAGGTCCTATGAGTGCAGTCTGTTGTACAACCGGTAGAAAATGCAAATCGAGGTAAAATCTCTCCTAAGACTTAAGGGTTCGATACTCCTTGTAAGCCTAGAATCATCGATTCCACGATAAGTCTAATACTGGCCTGACTTCAATTCTCGTATATCATCATTTACTAGCACTCCATCAATATATATTAATAGTATTCCATTTTCATTTAAAAAATATCATTATAACGCGACGTTATTCACGTAATCAACAATTACGTGAATAACGTCGCGAGTACAGATAGTCGTTTTATAATATTTCGTTAGTCATTGATTGCTGTTATTACTTGTTTTATTATTATGATTGGCATTTATAGACAAACGTCTATTACTGAGATTAAATCGCTGTAATAACAATAAAAGAACTTATTCTCATTAGTGTAACTAGCTAAAATAATTGCCAGTTATTTAACTAATCAAAATGAAGTGATTCATTTAACACGTGTCCGCAGTTACTTTCTTTTTTAATAACAATTATTATAATAGTTATTCTAAATTCTAATTTATTAATTCCATTGGACGTTGCACATTGTTAGATTCGTCATAATTACGAGTAGGTACTTTGATTTGTAAATAGATAACAATATTTTTAAAATAATACATTTTTTATAAATATGTAGAGAATAATAATGTGTATATGTATACACACTTGAATACAAATTGTTTGATTTTTGTATTGGGCGGGAATCGAATCTATATACGTCAGAAAATGTCGGTACATCAAATTAGAAAATATATTTTAATTAAATGTTTTGTTCAGTTATAGTATAGAGTTTACATAGACCTATACATAGACAGCATTATGAGTGCATACAACGCCGGGTATCAAACATAGGTCGCCCAGACCAGTTTTAGACAAGCATTTTGTTACTCAACCCCAACTGAGTCAACTATCGTGGCGAAATTGCTCAATTAGGGTACATTGAGCTCTACTTATTCAGTACTGCGAACGAGCTATTGTCGAATATACGAGTATTGACAAAGACAATTGCTCTGATAGACAATACGTATTTAATGTCAAAGTTATTTCAAACACTATTTACCTTATTATTTTTTAAAACTTATATTATTTTTTTATTCGATGTTTAATTATATAAGTAAAGGGAAATTAATGAACTCACTGTGTGTTTGTTTATTAATAATAATAAGATAGAGATAATTAGAAAAAATATCCTTAGTTAAATTTGGAATATGAAAGTTAAATATTAATTTGAATTTAATGTCAAAGAAATAAGTAGAATTAATGATATTTGTGAATAGAGGGATTGCATCAGAGAAGAGTGAAACTGAAACAATGAGAGATGGGAGTGAAACATAAATCATTATTATTAAAGTCAACAATAATCATGATCATTATATCAATCGTTAATTATCCATTCCAGGCCTCCTCCTTAGACTCTCATAAGGAAGATTACCACACTACTAGTTATTATAATATATAACAGGAAATAATTTACCCAAAAGTCTGAAAACAAAAAATACCAATACATACAATGCTTAAAATGTCAAACCCATCACAGATTTTCTATTCTTTTATTGCAATGTAAACCTGATTATTAAATATACTTATAAGCAGTCCCAAACAATGTAGACGGAAGTCAGACTACTTAAACTTCATCCTTAAATGGTTTTCGCGGTCAAAATGAACGTTCGAATAACTATATAATTAAGTGCATACGTACACATACCAGACAACTTTTATCGCCATGAAATTGACCATGTCAACTTGGAGGTCGTCTCCTTTGAAACTTGACAGCGCCGTAGTCGGTCGGTATGTCCGATATGGCGGTTCATATTATGACAGTCCTATGAATTTGTGCATGGTGACTTTTCTCGTAGGCAGTAGGGATACAATGCATTCGACATTTTATAGTGCCGGCTATTGTCATAATTTTTCCAATAACATGTGATTGAAATGAATGAGATAATACAATTTTATTTGTGATTATTCGTAGTCACTGTTATAATCGTATTTACAGAAATTTCGATGTCTTAATTTAGCAATATTTTAAAAATTAATAATCGTAATTGGTTATTAACTTTTAAAATATTGGTAATTTTAGTGTAAATAATATTAATATACTAAAAATATTAATGTTTAAATATTACTTATTTATATAGTCTTAAAAATAGCATTCTAACAGTGTAAAAATGAGATTATCTCGGTCAATCTAACTTAATTGTCACAAAAACATTACAATGTATACTGCTAACTGCTAAATTTCGCTATTTAGTGAACTTATATTGTCTATTATGTCATTCTATTATATTATTTTGGAGCAAAAACGAAATATGCTAAAAAATACTTCAAACCAAGCGTGAAAATGAATATTCACCTACCGTTTATTGAAAATGGTGGTAATTATAGAAATTGTTGATGACGCACCTACTTTTTGTGAGTGTCTTTTAGTAAGCTGCGCTTGCGCATACGAGTACAATAGTAGTTCTACAGGCAATACAGAGCAACCTTCTATAGCAATCGCACGTGCGCACGGATTATTTAATTTTACCAATCCATAAGTTTATTAGTTACAAAATGAAGAACTTAATCTTCGTTGTAGGATTAGCGCTGTGTGGATACGGTGAGTAGTTATTTTTAATAATTATTTAGTTACACAAAAAGATATTTTTTATAAAATATAAATAATGAATTAATTTTTTTATTTTATTATTATAATTGTTTAATGTCTATAATATACAATTGTTTATTACATGTTAATTTATTGAATGTAATTATTTATTGTAATAATAGTAAGTGCTGTACAATCACCAATCACCTAAGTAACTGTAATTTAAATTTCATTGTTTAATATGTAATATGATTAATGGTAGCTAGATAGAATGTAATAGAGTCACGCCAATATTTTGTGAATACGTAAAAAGTCTAGATTAGATAGATAAATGAAAAATATTTTTATTGTGTTATAATTGAGTCATAATGAAATTACAAATATAATGAAATTATTATATTATGTCCTAAACATCATTGTGAAATGGTGTTTAGGATATATATATATATATATATATATATATATATATATATATATATATATATATATATATATATATATATATAAATTAGGATAATATAATAATTTCATTATGTACATAATGAAATATTAAAAATAAACCTATTATAGTAAAAAAAAATATTACATAATTAATGTCTAGATATATCAATTAAATTGTACTTATTATAATCAAGTTGTGACAATTCAAATCTGTAAGTCTAACATATCAACATGCTACGGAAAAATATTACCTTTATATTATTCATTGAACTTACTATTTTCATATTATATGTATAATTTATATACTTAAATAGATAAATAGTTGACAAAATTAGAAAATTTAATATTTCGTTGTCATAAAACAATTGTTTCGACTACATCCGGAAGTCTATACACTACAATGCTTTTGTCACCTCGCCAGCACTATAAAATCTCGAATTAAATTCAAGTTCATTAAATTCCTGACAAGTGATTATGTATTTTGAAAATTATACATCTTAATTCGAATTACAGTCCATTAAATTCTAGCAAGTTTTTAATCTTAACTACAAATATTCCTGTTTATTAAGGCAAATTCAGTAGGTAACCCTACATGTAGGTGAGTGCTTAACCGCAAGGTCGCCAGCTGAACCCCGTCACCGAGTCAGTGAGCCACTCCCGACAGGGGTCTTTTCGAATTTACATTGTAACTATTAGATTAGCTTTTTGCTCTCTAATTCTACTACTTAGTTAAAAATTAAATACATCAATTTTAGATAATATATCAAGATCAAACCTAATCTTTAAGCTAGGTCATGGTATTAAAAAACCTTGAAAATCACAATTGTGAAAAGCATCTAATTTGTTGCAACAATTTACGTGATACCATAACAGACATACAAAAAAATCTGCAATCTGTTATTTTATTTCATCTTTTCGTCTTATTAAGACCCCTCATATTCATTTTTCTTAAATATCTTCCACATGCAGATACCGTCAAATTAAAATTTTATCGTATAAGTAAAATTTACATCGAGAACCAAGTAAATTAAATAAATCAGTCATAACATAAGTAATATTCTATTATAGCATAGTCTAACAGAAAAGGCTCAGTACTTAATAAACTTACAGTATTTATTTTGCGTTAAAATTTATTCGTTCTATATCATCAGACAAACATTATTTTACTATTTAAAAAATTTTGAATTATGTTTAAAATTATGTATATATATATATATAGACACATAATTCACGTATATATATATATATATATATATATATATATATATATATATATATATATATATATATATATATATATATATATATATATATATATATATATATATATATAAACGTAATACTATATATAATCTAAAATAAAAATTTCTAATGTGTATTAACTATTATAAATTAATAATTATATTGTATAATAATGAAAGAAAGTACTCGTAGGTATAATGCGGAATCAGTTTTCTTTTGTGTCCGTGGTAATCCAAAATTGCTTAAACTTACAATCATAAGGATTTTTATGATAGTTATATTGACAAACAAGCTGACGGTCAAACACGAACATTACAACGGACATCCAGGATATACTGTGTTCCCTTCATGCATTGTCAACCTAAGTACTATAATATTATGCCTCTATATCTCGTAATTACACTGCTATGTACTCTTCAAACACAGCAATACAAGCATAGCTGCTTCATATTTCGTAATTCCGGACATTTTAATATTAATCGATATTTTGTATTTTTAACCGACTTCAATATCAAAGAGGTTCTCAATTCGGTTGTAGTTTTTTTTTATGTTTTTTACTTGGTATCTTCGTTACTTCTGAACTGATTTGGAAAATTCTTTTTTATTTGAAAGTATATACTTATAGTTTGGTCCCATTTTTTTAAAATCGATTTTCTTGTCAATATGAGTAGTTTAGTTTTCAAACCAAAATAATTGATTTTTAGCGATTGAAAATGGTTTTTTTTGCGGAACACAACCTATAATTATTGTCCTTACTGACATCTGAAATACACGACGCGAATGCTCTAATAGATCCCTTAATAAACGGAACAATTCAACAATACAATGTCCTCCTTTCACTCACGCGTCCTAACGAATGTTTAGTGCTCCAGTAAATTTGCTTAATGTACGTGATGCAAGGGCAATTTGGCTATTGAACGCTGTCACGGAAACTTATCGGATTTTCGAAACGAATTGTAACGTGCCAGTAAGTCATTATTGTTTTTAAATGAGTCATATGTTAAAATTTCGTAAAAATAACATAAATCGACATTTCATTTGTGCTTATTGTTCACTTACAAAATTGGTAGTGGCCATTTAAAAAGCTATAAGTAGATACTTAGCTTTCGCCTGTATTGATAAGAAAAGATAAATATGGTAATCATGTTCTCGATGTGATTAATTAGTAATTTTTAATACGGAAATTGCGAGTTTAATTTATTTAATCAGTATTGTATATATGAATGTTTTTTCCAGCTTTAAGTAAGTAGTAAAGTAATTTAAACTGTCTATATATGGTACAGTTAAGCAATATAACTAACCATTAAGTTTTAGTGCGGTAATATAATTTTTGATAGTTTTTAGTTAACCTAAAAATTACAGAGTTATAAAGAAGGTACCGGTTAATTAGTTTGAGTAAGAGATATCGTTTATTTTTAACAGCAACTGTTGTTAGTTTTATTATTTTTACTTTATACTGTTATTAATTTAAATAAATATTTATAATTAATAACTTTTGCCGTTAATATGTCAGAGCCCATACAAATTAATTTAAAAATCTCTCAAATCCGTTCATACTTATATTTGTAGATTTTTAAATTTAAATATCCCATAACGTATAATAAGCTATGTTTCTTACAAACACGTCTTTTAGAATAGACCATTTCTGATAAGCGACTATTCAATAATACGGAAAACGATGGCTTCTTTACACCTTTATCGGTTATTTATTGGATAAATATTATATATTTATAAATTTACTGGAGATATAAATTTCGGGTATAAATGCTTATATATATATATATATATATATATATATATATATATATATATATATATATATATATATATATATATATATATAATAAATATGCTAAGATTTAATCTGTATTCAATACAGTAAACTTTGAATCGTGTTTGAGAATTAACAATAGTCATGGATCACGATTCCAAGTAAATATGAAACATTGAGAACGGTACTTAAATTTTAACATTAACCAAATTAAGTACAGTTCAATTTAGTGTTCGCAACTTCATTCATAATAAAATTATATAAATTAATTATTCATTGGTGTAAATATTCAGTCACTCAGTAAAAGTATAATTTTAATAATTCTAGTTAAATATTTACTGGTAGAATGTTAATAACATCTATTTTATATACCAATTATGTAAGTCAATAATTTTTCTTGCATATTATCATTGGGTCATTTTTGAGATAAAATTAAAGAAAAAATAAGTTAATAAGTCACTATGTTTAATCTGTATTTTAATGTCGACATTGGTACTTAAGTTTCTTTCACTTCGAATTTATGTTCTCGTTCAGATAATGCAATCAAAACTTCATTAATCAGATACATAGCTTTTAAAAGGCTCTATAAAATTTTCATTCGAATTGAAATAAGTTGATACGAATCTTAATTAATTTGATCCCACAGAATGATATAGGTGTGGCGGTAATGAAACAATTGGATTTTTTTATACTACATAAAATTGCAAAGAAACTTATTGCCTATTTGTTTTTTATAATTGTTTGTATCTATAATAATGTTATTACTGTTACCTTTTGGAGAAAACAATAAAGAGTATTTATCTATCTATTTGATGGAAAGAGATAATCGTTGTCTATAGTTGAAAATCATACTAGGTATCACAATGTGTTATTTTTGAAGCACTTTTGAATGATTATTATCTTTATACTTAAAATGAAGTAAGAATGTATTAAACTCTCTTAATTGTTATTGTTGATAACTTTTAAAATCTAAATAAATATCTAATTATGTATGCCACAGCTTAATAATTTAGTATATAAAATATCTCTCTGGTAATCCGTGTACTAAAATTCATTCAAATCCATTCAGTCATTTTACCGTGATTGTATAGCAAAAATACATACATTCATATTTATAATATTAATATGCTTTATTTTAAGCTGTTTTTTATTCAGTTTCAGGTCAAGAGTTCGACTGCCCGGAAAAAAGCGGCTATTACCCGGATCCTTACCAATGCGACCTCTACTATAAATGTTCAAAAGGTCAGTACTTGAAAGTATGATGATGTCATATGATGTTAACATTGTGCTGATCTAGAATAAAATGATCATATTTTTAAACTGGATTGTCGGCTATTAACACATTTTTTTATTCATCTTGGAATAGCAAAAAAACTATCGACCCACTTGGGATATAACAGAATATACTGTGACGACTATGGTATTCCTCATGTTCTACAATTCTTGAGATAATGGTGTTATGTCTCTACACCCTACAATCTTTTACTGCCATAAACTCACTGCCATATCCATATAAGCGTATTTGGAATTATTTTCCAGAACACCTTATGTACAGACATGCTTTTGCATATACTTAATGAGTGGTAAAATCATAAAAATTCATTATTCGAATACACAAATGCTTGTAATTAAGTTTATATAAATAAAGAAATATTCTTCGTCATTGATCATTCCAGCTGTTAATTGTCCATTGCTAAATATAAGCCTTGTCCATACAGGGAACTGTGCCAGTAGTTGCCATGCTTGGCAGGCGGGTTTGCAACCGCAGTTAATCTTTTAGAGATGTTTTACGAAGAACACTGCTGCTCATCCCCCTACCATTAAGTTCCTTTAGTCGCCTCTTACCGCACTAGGAAGGTGTGGCCTATTTTATGTCAAGACTACATGGGCATAAATATGTTCTTATTCTCATTTAAAAATTCCACTCGCATCCTAGAATGAGCACTATACAATCCAGGAGTAGGCGTAGCGCACAAGATCCATTTTTACCCTTAAACATGCCTATGGCCTTTATCCCGCATTACCCGATATAATAGTACTTAAGCTGATAATCTTTATACAAACAAGTCTCTATCTACTATACATTGTTATAAAGCTATCGATTCAGTTCCTGAAGTCTGTAATTCCCAGTTTGTACTTATCTGAAGGTAATTTAGAAAACCCGTAGTTGCCGACATTTGCCACAAAGTAACTAAAGGTCAATCCTTATGCAAAGGCTATCTGATGTTAATACCTAATGAAAGTAGTATGTTATGCAATGTGCATATACGCATGTATTTCTATAATATTTTTTTTTTATAAAATCTAATATAAATCTAATATTTGTCAGCATAGACACAGAAAAAGTATTTTTTTGTCTTTCTTTTTTTAAATTATGAAGTAGTAATCTTTTATTCGTACTTGCATTTTCTTTTATTTACACTTAGATGCACAATTTTTTATATTTATATCCAAAAATAATTAAAATATACGTGAATTAACACATGGTGATTTTAAGTTAAAATAAACTTAATAAAACAAGTTTATATTTTAGAATCATAATACATTTTTAGTGCACTTTTATTCACAAATGAACGAGCATTGAGGTTTCTGTGTTAAGATGATCTCAAACTACACAATTTCGTCGCATTAGAATTTTAATTAGGAAAAAATATAAACCATCTTCACCGTTATATGATCTAGCCTGACACAAGGTTTAGAAAATTATATTTTACAATTTACGAGTATATTCATAATGCATTCACAGATTTGGTTAAAATATTATTTTAATTAAGTACTTTAGAAATATATTATTTGCTTTAATTCAATAAAAGGATACAATAAGTATATTAATATGCTAGACAAAAAAAATTATTTCGTTTCATTTATAATTAAACTGTAATCGAAAATCACAGGCAACAAAAGGCGTGAATTTACTGGATACAAAGGAATAACACCTGAGTCCTCAGGAATGGCAACGCATGGGGAGTATCATGGGCGAAACAGTATACTCTGTTATGTCCATGGTACTGCTCATGTCTATAGGCGACGGTTACCACTTTACATCAAGTGGGCTGTCAGCTTGTTTGCCATTCTAAGTTGTATAAAAAAAAATCAATTTAATATACTCAGTATTGTGAATGTGTTGTCAATTGCGTCTGATGAAATATAAGTTACAAATTCCGAATGATTTATAAGTTATGGGCAATTAGTTTAACCTAACAATGTCTGTTCAAACGAACCCAATTTCACGAATCTAACATCGTTACTTCATATTATTTGTTCGAAATTGGCGTTTTTGTAAACATTAGGCCATTCTTGTTACAACGGCAAATAGAGTGTGAACATTTCCAACTTTCCTTGATACCTATGACTTGAACGAAATTTTATAGTACTCACTTATAGTCTAAGTAATCACTATAATTCTGTTTAAATGTAGTGTGTAAATTTTGAACCGTGAAGGTTTGATACTTGCATATATAAATGTACCTATTATCTCTTGCGTTGCTTAAAAGTCAATGGTCAAGGTTAAAATAAGTTTTTGCGATATAGTTCTATATATGTATAGAAATGTAATGAGTCAAATTGCATACATTAATGCAGTTATATACAAGTTTACTATTATTCTTATATATCTTTTTAACACTCATGTGTCTCTCCAGCTTGTATAGTTACGATTATATTGTAGAATACGATGATGAAATTATTGGATACTAAATTAGTTAGTTAGTTGGTTCTCAAGACAGACGATCTATAAGAAATACTAGTATACTTTGAGAATCCCATAGTTCTATTTTTATATATAGGCGATGGTTACCACTTTTCAATAGGGGACGGTCAGAGTGTTCGATATTCCAATTGCTTAGAAAAAAAAAAGTTTTTGTACCTCTATAAAATCTTTTAATAAAGAACGTTCAAATAAGTATATGTAGCTACAGTCTTTATTTCATTTAGTTTTATGCAATTTAATATTGCAAACAAGTTGACAGCCCACCTGATGGAAGATGGTAATCATCGCCTATAGATATGAAAATTTGTAAAGAAAAAGTATAAGTATGTACTCGTACAGGTATTTCAGCACTTAATTATCTATTTACAAAATCGTAGTGAATGTTATAATAGTTTTGACCTCAAGGTGTTCATAACGACCGTAACAATATCTAGTTAATTAACCTTAATAACGAATCACAAGCATTTTTATTATGTATTTTATATGTAGTAAGTATACATTAAAAACAAATAAAAAATATTATATAATGTATTTAAAATATTTTTTTTATTGCACTGCTATTTAGGTTTTATGGAATAATTATGGAATGGTAACCCCGCCTGCGCTACATACGCTAGCGGGGCACCAGTAAAATATGATAGGTGAAGGTGAAAGCAGGTCAGTTAGTACAATGTGAAGAATTCTATAAGAATTAATCATAATGGCTTCCAAGGTGAACCACATGGAGGTCGACCTGACAGGGTATATTGCTACCAATGAGTCCGTTTCTACATTAGTAGCAATCCCATTTCTCTTTGCTGTTTAGGTTAAACACATTTGTTCAATGTCTACTAGATTCAAACATATTGTATGCTAGAACTAAGATAGCATGAACAAGCATTTTATATTATAAACTGCCATAGAAGTCTTTAAATAATAAATGTGTATGTATATAAATACAAATATTATAATAATTTGGTGACTTTGTCCATGAAATCGAGATGAAAAATAGTGTACATAAGTCTGCATACAATATCTTATCTTATTTTCGCATATGGGGTCAGCTAATCTGTTACACGTCGACACATACGGATCTTTTGTGCTTCCCCCTGCCTTATACCATCATTTCATAGATCCTATGTGTTACCCTAACGATATCCCGCGGTTTAAGATACCTGTAGTCCCCTGGCTCTAGATAAGCCGTTCCCAGTAGACTCATACGCATACTTGCCAACGAATCGCAGTTGCACATCAAGTATTCCATGGATTCCGATTTCTCCCCGCACAATCTGCACAGTGTGTCCGCACAATCTGCACAGTGTGTGCACAATGTGTGTGTGTGATAGACCCATCTTGTGTCGTATATGCCTTATTGGCATTTGTCCAGTTAGGGCACCCATAATGAGTCTTGCCTGTTGTCTGCCACCGCTGTAGATGAGTTTATCCCATCCCTCAACATTGTCATTTAAGAATTTTTTAGAATGTCCATACAACATACTCCTCCATACATATATACATACACTCCATACAATATACTACATATATATGATTTTTTTTTGAGCTGTTAAATGACCGAATAATAGCAAATTAGAACTTTTATATTTATAATATTAGTAAGTAAATGATGAAACTAAAATCTTTATATCTCAATTAAGTAAATTAAGATGCCTGCTGTAACCTCACAGAATCTAATATAACCTGACTTTTTCGGGCTCCTTATACAAGAATAAAACAGTAAACAAGTTTAGTAAGAACTTGAAGGATGCGAATGGCATTTCCACCTATAACCGCTTTGAGCACTGACATTTTGTCCTTACATCCTACAGATCTAGGTACCTACATAATACCTAACACATTTCGTCAGAATTCAATGATGTCATAATTTTATGATTAAAGTAATTTAACTCACGATTTCGTCTACGAAACTGTACACATTTGTTGATCAGGCCAATAACTTAAGATTGTGTACCACAATAATAAAACTGAGTTGTGGCAAATCCAGTTATTTTGTTTTAAACACTAAACTTCTTAACCAATTCTGATAAAATTTCTGTGAGACCAATCTGCAAGTATATTCTTTCAGATAAGAAAAGAATTTTCCGAATCGATTTACAACTGACAGAGATACCATTTAAGGTAAAAAACATGAAAAAAATGCAACGGAATTGAAAACTTCCATTTTTTTAATTCGGTTGAAAAAAATATCCTATGTCCTTGTTCCTTTACTATTCCGAATACATACTTCATGTACCTATATTAAATTTCATAACAGTTGAGTGAGACATTAAGGCACCAAGTGGTAATAAACTGACTCGTTTTCACATTTTATAATATCATCATCATCATCATCATATCAGCTTTTAATTGTCCACTGCTGAACATAAGCCGGGGAGGCTTAGGGAGTTTTGTAGTTGCCACGCTTAGCAGACGGATTGGCAACCGCAGTTTGGGTTTGGAGATATTTTAAGAGTGACGCTGCTGCCTCCTCACTCGCTCCTCCTTTAGTCGCCAAGGGAAAGGATGGGGTAGCCTATTCTATGCCGGAACCACACGCACTTTATAATATAAAGTTGCGTTATTCGATTATTTATTATTTTGATATTTCGTTAATAAAAAATTATGTTGTCTGTACAAAAAAGGACTGATACGCGTACTACTCATTTCAAATATTATTACAAGTTTTGAGAGAATCGTGATAGGGTCATCATAATCATAACATTATCCTGAATAGTTCTATTCAAAGCAAAGCCTATGCCATATCCATTCTTACACCTAAGAACCAGAATGGTCATGCACAGTCCAGTTGCAGAGGAACTACCTTCCGCAAACACTCGGGTTGAGGAGTGATCTTTCTGTCTAGGCTTTCCCTAAAGACTACAGCATGCGGTTGTTCAAAAAGGTCGTATTAAGGTTTCATCTGGGTGTGCAACGCGCGCATATATCCCTGATGGTTCAGACGTCCATAGGCTACGGTAACTCCGTTTACCATCAAATGGGCCATATGCTTCATTGCTACTATAATTCTATAAAAAAAAATATGAGTAATAACAATTTGTTTTTTTTTCCAGGAAAAGCGGAAACTCGTTTGTGTCCAGACGGACTAGTGTTTTCTGACGAAAATCCCAACAAGGAACGCTGTGACATACCGTCCAACGTAGACTGCGGCGACAGGAAAGAATTACGTATGTATCTTACTAGGTAGACATTACAAACTATGTGGTGTTAATTAATCCCATATAAAGTCCCATAAAAATATTATAACTTGACCACAACTGTGATTTATCATATTTTATAACAAAATTCATTAATTTAAGTAAGACATAAAAAATTTATAACACCTAACTACACATATGTATATCGATACAAATTATAATTTTCTACCCAATTGCTGAATAGTAATGGTAAGCATAATGTTATAAGATGATATGAAATATTAAAACTGAGTACTTATATTTAGATCAGATATAAAAATATACCATAGAAAACATACCAAAGTATTTTAAAATAGATTTACAAACACATATAAAGGATAGGTTATTTTATATTGCCACTTGGCCTTTTTTTTTACTTGTTAACTAAGTACCATTTTCAATAGACGTAAATCGTAAACAAAACTAATATTCTGGTACTTTTGTAGAGCTATAGGTACATTTTTATTGTCTCCTAGTTCGCATAATAGACATACTAAGAATGCCGTTTCGCCCCTTTTACAAACGAGGTAAAAGAGCGAGAGAGGGAATGTAATCTGAATAGTGAATCCTATTAGTTGACCAACCAACCAAGCCACGTAAGCAATCTATCACATGCGTTCGCAACGGTCGCACCTCCAGTGTTGCTGTTACAATGGATACAAAAATACCGATAAATAATATTAATATTTTGTATAAAAAATAAGTAAAAAATGCATTTGCACTATAAGTTGTTATACGATTTGAAACAATTATATCGTTTATCAATGTGTAAAATATAGTATAGTATTATTTAAATTGTAGTTATAGCTAAATTGACCAAGAACAAATTAGCCGTTATGTTATTAAGAGGTTCATTTCGAAATTCAAACCCACATTTAATTTTTAGCATTAATTAAATTGATTAATATCTTGTTCTATTTAATTCAAATGTGCTAAATTTTAGAATTAATTATAATTGGTTTTTTTTTTCATATTGATGAACAACTATTAAAAAATAGAATGATTGTAGACTAAGATGTATAGAATAGCACATTAACCTCATTTGAAATATGATATTTTATAATTAACATTTAAATCTTGTATTTTTTTTAATCCGAGTCTAGAGTACATTATTATATTAGCTGTAAGAGTGGATGTATTTTATTTTACTATAGAATATTATTCCCACAAATTGTGGAATTATAACTAGCAACACAAGTCAATATTTCGAGCGAGCGAGATAAATAGACGCGGATCGAGGAGGACGAGGGGAAGGACGTGCGTTCAGCCGCGTTCCGTTCCGTTGACGCTCAACATCGATACTCGCCGGCACACTGCGCTGTGATAATAACGTTGCAACAATGGATTCTAAAGACGAAATTAAACTTATAACTCTGGTTCAACAATATCCGTGTCTTTACGATATATTTGACCCCTCGTACAATGATTCTCAACAGAAGTATAATGCGTGGGAGGAAATAGGAAAATTAGCTGAAAACAGACGTAAGTACCTGTTAATTTTTTTTTATTTGTAGATTATTTTGTGCTTGCTTAATCAATTAATTGTAAATATATTGTAAGATTTTTTTTACAAATTTGTGTAACGGTAAGGTGATCTATTTGCTATGAGTTTTTACTTATAGCATGTCATACAGTAAAAACTTGATGTCACCTTTAGAGTCTTTATTTTGTCAGTTATATTTATTTATTTATATGTTTTTTGTACATTCACTATTATATTGTATATTAATATTGTATATTTCGTTAACTTCAGAAATTCCAAATATTTTAATAAGTATAATATAATATCAGACCTAAATTTATTAACTTTTTGTTGTAAATAAAGTAAATTAATTATATTGTAAGTGTATGTAATGTGTAATATATATATTTTATAAACTGTAATTTTTAGTTTATAATTTTATTTGTATTATTATTTATGCTTCTTGCCATTTAATTTAATAACAATAAATAACTTTATTGTAAAACTGAACTTACAGGACTGTATAACACATTTCCCTACTTTGATTTTAGCAAGAGAATGTAAGGTGAAGTGGACTCGATTAAGAGAAAATTTCAGAAAAGCTTTAAAAATGAGAGAAGCAAATAAAAAAGGTGGCTTAATCCGACCACTGAAATACGAAAATCATTTATCATTTCTAAAGCCCTTCATAAAAATACACGCCGCTCCCCCTGCGGCGCAATCGGACGAATCAAGTTGTATGTCTGACGAAGATTCTTCAATTATTAGCAATCAAAATGAAAATGGAATATTTGAGAGTCGGAAGAAACATAAATCTTTTTCTCAAAAAGTAAGGGAAAATGATCCAATCGATTCATTTTTCAGCGCATTAGCGACTACTGTGAAAACGTTCCCGAAAGATCTTCAAATACATGTGAAACGGCAAGTCTTCGATGCTGTGAATGCTGCGGAATTGTCCTTGCTGCCATCTGCTTCTAAATATAATGAAACAAAACATGTTGCAATATGTTATAATGATGAAAATACATCTGTCATGCCAGAAATAAAAACCGAGATTCATGAAGATACTTAGTTTTCCATGGAAATAATATGAACATTATATTTCTTGAGAGTTTGTGATTGTTATTTTGTTGATTTTGCTTATATAATAGTGTTGCAAAATTATGTATTAAAAAAACATAAACATCTTATAGATTGTTTTCTTTACCTTTCTAATGCAGTTAATTACTTGATTTAGTAATATTTTATGTATGTATTTATTTGTTTTACTTATTTTGTGAATTTTATATTAGTCTAATTGTATGTTTATAATGTATAAATATGTTAATTATAACTTTATGTTTCCTTCATTTTTGAATGCACCGTCTAGCTATTTGTTTGTATGCCCAATAGTTGACTAGTAGGGAACACCATCTGATGTTACAGTCCGCCAAAAGAATACACGATTACTCTGTACATTCAAATTTAAATATAGTTATTTAAAAATAAATTATATTAACAATTATTCCAAAATTAAATACAGAAATTAACAAGGACATTCAATTGTCCCTTGTATAATAACAGAAATGTTTATGAAAATTGACTTTTTTATGTCACTTAGAATGACAAACAAACTGATGATCCACCTGATGAAAAGAGGTAACCGTCGCCTGTAGCATGAACAGTACCATGGACATAACAGAGTATACTGTTTCACCCATAATACCCCCCATGCGTTGTCATCCCTGAGGACTAAGGTGCTATGCCTTAGTACCCTGTAAATTGCCATTTTTTTATTTATATTTAGAAGATGTTAATAAATGGTATGTCGATTATGCGAAAAACATTGAAACCAAAACCAGATTATATCGCTTAAAATAAGTACATACAAATAATATACAGCAGAATTAAAAACACCTTATAGAGAAAAAATAACTATGCACAAATGCAATTTAAATGTACTTGAATGATTTTTTTTTTCTTTTTAACTGAGCGATAAGACCGTGGCAAGAACAAGTGCAGTGATAACGTGGTTGATTTAATTTTTTATCAAATTCAAATTTCACAGAGGAGCCCAAGCCGTCTAAGGGTTGCCCGCGACAAAACGGTTATTTCAAGCATCCCGATCCTCAGGTAATTGTTTTTGTACCATCAGTGTCAAAAGTGAATATACCTATAGCACAATAGTACACTTGTGTTGTCACTCATGAGGACTTAGTAAACAATACTGATCAAGTACTGTCAATCTTAATTTTTAATATACTTTGGATCGCATAAAAGCGATTAGCGAATCTTCATGAAATGTTGGTATTGCTAATAAATATTGAATTTCATCATCTTTTAGTTCTTCTCAAATATTATTTGAATATATATATATATATATATATATATATATATATATATATATATATATATATATATATATATATATATATATATATATATCCATTTAGCGATTAGGTAGCGAACTTATAGTAATAACGTAATTAGCAATCTATCTTAATCAAGCATTGATTTTTATATATTTAATAATTACTTGCGGTTCTTTGAATTCTTCAAAGAATATTTATTCTGTTTTTTTTTCTTAATGTTCCAAGCTAAGGTTCTAAGTTTAAATTAGAAGATGCCAGTCATAAATCTAATAACTACTCCTACTATAGGCATATTCGTTCAATTGCAGGCGTGTGACAAATTTTATTACTGTTCGGATGGCACTCCCAATGAACTGCCTTGCCCTCCTGGACTCTACTTTGACGAGGAGACCTCCAACTGTGACTGGAAGGAATCTGTCGACCGCACATGTGATCAGATTACGAAAGGTATGATTTTATATTATACTAGTTATTATACTCATTATCGACGTAAATTGGTTTTCAACCAACTTCAAAAAAAAGAGTATCTCTAATCTACTGTATATGTTTATGTGTGTTAGCTCACAACTCCGTCATTCTAAACCGATTTGGATAATTATTTTTTTATCTGAAAGGATGTACATACAGATTGTTCCTAAAGAAATTTTATCAAATTCTTAGAATAGAATAGAAATCATTTATTCAAATAAACTTACATTGAAGCACTATTGAAAAGTCATTACATTTTTTTTTAATTTACCGCTCGTTCGGAAAGCTGTCTCATCACAAGAAGAACGAGCAAGAAACTTGCGTGATGCTCTTTTAAATAATTTTATTATTATTTTACATTTTTAAGTTTAATTGTGTGAATACAAACCACCAATTAGCACTAATTCAATTAAATACTCAAAAAGAAAAAAAAAATTGAATACATAACCAACTGATTAAATAATTAATAAGAGGAAATCAGTCATAGTGATTAGTCCCTACAAGCAGCACCCGTTCACGAGTATGACGGATGAGCCAGCCATCACTGCGCTCGACCATATTTTAGGGAGCCCAATGACCCGGCCCACCACGCCGCCACAAGTCTGGACATTTTAGTGAGCATGACTACTCAAAACACTAGACCACGTCAAAGCTACTCACAATTGCCATCTGATAGTTTTTTCACATTTTACATAAGAATGCATGCGGCAATTAATACAAAAAACCGCTACGCTTTCATATTTCTAAAATTAATCAATTAAATCAAGAAAGCAATGAGAAAATAAAATTATAACGTTGTATGCTAATAAACTAATTATTTACTTGATATGTTGTCATCTATGAATTCGTCTATCCTGTAATAGGCTTTCTTACATAAAATTCGATTCAGTAGTTTAGTATTCAGATCAAAATAACTTGTTTTCTCACAATTAAAGCCGGGTTTTTTGTAAGACACAATCTTTAATTATTTTTAAATAATAAATTGGTTGTAATTTTGTCAGGCGCTTTCGCATACGTCAAATCGAAACTTATCAAACTTTAATTTTTATAATTACCAGCTGATTTTTTTTCTTATCTGAATAAAAGCTATTATTATTAGAAGTTAATGGGAATGAATATCCTGACATGGGATTATTTATCATGGGCGATAATGAAAAAAAAATTACTAGAAATGCTTACATCTACTTAAATAAAAATATATTTTTTCTTTCAGGGTAATATTAGAATTTTATTTATTAACTTTAAAACTCTTAATTAAATGAAATTTGAATTTCAGATGTTCTCGACGATGGATTTTCGTGCCCTGATGGTGAGGTGATGGGTCCCAACGGTCGTGCTTTGCCCCACCCTACCTACCCTCATCCAGAAGATTGCCAGAAGTTCTACATCTGCCGCAACGGCGTTCAACCACAAAAGGGTAGCTGTCCGTCCGGCAAGGTCTACAATGAAGACACCTTCATGTGTGACGACCCGGAGAAAGTACCTGGATGGTAAGATTCAATTTCCACAGATAATATTATTTCTCTTCTCGCTGAAATTTCCAACAAATTATAATTATTATTTTACAAAAAAAAAAAAACATAATTATTCAGCAATTAAAAAAATTAAGAATATTTTATAAGTCAATTGAAAATATAACACAAATATCAGATCTAATTATAATACTGGTAATATTATTACTAAATAATTCCTAGTAATTTAGTCTTTAAAAAGCACGCTTACCGTGATCCTGTTTATAAATAGGAGTATAATTCCGATAGACAGATGTCCGACTATCTATATAAATATGGAAAATTAATGAACTCACTGTGCTTTTGTCGTTTTCGACAATTGTTTCGACTTCATCTGGTAGTCTTTGCGTTAGCGTAGGGCGTTTAGCGCTTTGCGTCACAGCGTCTCGCCTCGCACTACACTGAGTACATTAATCTCCCGTATTAAATAAAAATTATCATAAGTTTTAAAAATGAGACGTTCCACTATTGCAAATTTTGTGTTTTCAATTACATGTATTTCTTTTTTGTTTCAGTGAAAATTACTACGAAGGCCAGCCGTTAGAGAAAAATAAATTACCTAAAAAAGCGTGAAGTGTGTCATAGATGTAGTTAAGGTTTTAGTATGTAATGTAATCAATAAATAATAAATAAGTGAACACCCCATTTGTTTTAATATCAAGAAATCCATTATACAATAAGTGTAACTAAAAATCCACAAAAAAAGCAATATAAATTTTGATAAAATTTCTATGGGACATTGAAATGGGAAAAAATAAACCAATACGGGAGTGACTAATATTAAATCTATTATTATGACTCTTTATAATTGGTTCAAAAATTAGAAAAGATGTCACACAATTAGAACATGTCAGTTGAATTAAAAAAAATCTTCTTGGATGTGGTTTTTATGCAATTTGGAATGATAAACAAGCTGATGATTTACCTGAAGGAATTTAGCAACCATCACCATAGACAAAAACCGTGAGATTTAATAGATAAGAGTAATGAAAGGTAATAAGGCAACAATAAAGAGATACTAAGCTTGGATGAAAAAATTTTAGAATGACAAAAATTCTTTATATCTTTACTTCTTTTTCCTAGAATTTAAGGTCTAGTGAGAGACAATATTTTGAATACATTTAAGTCCAGTACATATAACATCTTTCTAATATTAAGTTCCCTTAGTTACTTTTTACGATACCCACGGAAAAGGTGTGGTCCATTCTATGCCAAGACCCACACGGCGAACTTAGGCAAACGAAGTTTTTTTTTTATGGATGATAATGAAGTGGTAACCCTGCTTACGTTAATGGCGCATTACCAGTGAAGTATGAAAGATAAGAATAAAAAGGCAGTTCAATTAGTCCATCGTGATAAATATGCCTGGAATTCAGAACGATGGTTTCCAGGTGGAACCACGTGGAGACAAATGCGACTGATAGTCCGTATTACTAACAATAGCTTCCCCCCACGCGTACGAAGTTGCGGGCGAAAGCTAGTTAGTACTTTAACCTATACCAAGCCGGGTTACCACTGCGGAAATAGAAAGTTGTGCTGTCCCGTTAAGGGTTTAAGGTAAATTGTTAGAGACAAACATTTTACACCTCTATAATCATACTAAAATCCAGTAAGTCCGGTTAAATTTGCAACATTGATTGTAATCACGCAATACGAAACTGTAAGTACTTTAATAGATAACGTATCAGTTTTAAAGTTAATTATGGCAGCTAATTACTGGTGCACTAAATTTGGAAACCATTCGAATCATTTTACATAATATTTAAAAAAAAAATTTGGTTTAAGTATTTTAAATTTCGAATCGATGTTCATTTATCTTTTAGTTTACTGTCAGTCAGTTTTTGAGTTAAAAAAGTTTGTGCTATATTTAGCATTACTATTGTAATAAAAATCAGTTAATGACTTCACTTTTTAAAGAATAGTGATTTCAGCATGGAATGGGCTACTTTTGCACTTCCTATGGATATCGTAAGAGGAACATATTGGTCGCGGGATGGGCAGCAGGCTCGTTCTTAACACATCACCAAATTGTAACTGTAGTTGCCAACCCGCCTGCCAAGCGTCACAAATACTGGCAAAACTCTCTCTTTTGGGGAAGGTCTGTGTTAAGCAGTGAACTGTTAATAACTGATATTATAATAATATCCATGTGAAAACTATTGTTTCTATTAGTTCATGTACTTGTTTAAACAGAATAGGTATCATAAAAAAAATATTTAGGAATAAATATAAATACATAAATCTTTACATAAAATTTAGATACATCTTCTAAATTCTGTTTCTTTTTGGAAATTAAAATAATATTTATTCATTTGCAAATGTATTACAAGTATAATTACTGGGAACTACAAAATGTAACTTTAGGGCACATTACAAATTTTGTATTATACATCAAATATATTGCGATCATTAAAAAATATCAACAAAAAGTACGTGGTATTTAATAAATGGAATAACTATTTATTACGTTAGATACGATAACAGTTCACTCACATCTCACTGCATTATTTACTGCATATTTTATATTATTCTCCCAATTAACAGTAGCAAAATATTCGAATTAAAGTAATATTTATTAACCTAGTATAACCATGCGATCCTTGCTTGTCTAGCCAAGCCTGGCTTGTGCAGTGGAAGGGATTATTAATAATCCAGACTACCAGTTCCATTGATAACAATATACCCTGTCAGGTCGACCTCCACGTGGTTCCCCCTGAAAAATCGTGCCGAACTCTAGGTGCATTCATCACTAACTAACCTGCCCTTTCATTCTTACCTGTCATACCTCGTTAGTGCCCCGCCAGCGTATACCGTTTCAACGTACAGCGTATAGCACAGGCGGGGATACTATTCCATTATCATACATAAAAAAACAAGCCTGGCTTTCTTTAGAATTATATTTTAAGATGCATATCCAAAGATATATTGAGGGCGGCAGGGGCGGGGTAGAGGGGGGTAAAACTACTGAATTCCCTGGTACTCATCGCTGAATGCGTGTGGAGTTTTCAGTTATGCTCAAAGACATGTTTGATAGTATATATACGCATTTAAAAAACCAGACCCCTTATGGTAAATAATTTTAAACATGCCAATGTATAACCTATAGAATTAACTACAATATACGGTTAGTCACTAATAACTAATTTGATTTTTTTATGCAAATTAGAATAGCAAACAAGCTGATGGCCCACCTGATGGAAAATGGTAACCGTCGCCTGTAGACACGAGCATTTGATATATGTAACATGATAAGAATCCTATTAATATTATAAATGCTAAAATTTGTAACGATGGTTGGTTGGATATTTGTTACCCTTTCACACATAAACTATCGAACGGATTTGAATAAAACTTTGTATATAGATAAGTTTTATTCTAATTTAGCACATAAGATACTTTATATGGCGATTCACGTTGATAAAGTAGCGGGATGCAGCTAGTTAAAAATTAAATTTTATCTCATTCAGTTACCACTGTTATATACGATGTACCTCTACTGGCAAGAGTTTCTAAGCCGCTTTATTTAAACACGAAGGCCTCGTAATGTAATGGCTTTTTTAACGATGGCTTTTGTACACTTCGAAACATGAAGCAAGTGAAAAACATTTTTTTAAATGATCCACTCATGAATTTGGGAATTCAGAGGTTTAGACTGGGATTCATTTAGATTCCAGCGCGCTGCAATCAAACGGTATACGACTAAATTGTAACTGTTTCAAAATATCTTTTTGAGTGTCATATTTAGACGTATTAAAAAATATAATCTGTCATTTATCGTCACATTTGTCATACAAAGCACGCTGCGTCGGTTGTTTGACCATTTTCGTAATAGGTGACTTGAACCGACACCAACTCGTATTCATAGTGGAGTCGTAGACATTAGAGTATTTTATAAACACTACCTATTACATACGGCTTCGCCCGCATGAATAAGGATATAAAGTGTCCTATGTGTTTAGGATACAACAGTAGGTTGTATCCTAAACACATAGGACACTTTATTATTTCGTGTACCAAAAATAATTGTTGCTTGATAGAGCTTGATCTATCATTACAAACATTCGCATTTATTATATCAATAGAATTGCTATAATTTGACTTTGCTCGCTTTCATAGTATGCTGCTATATCTGTACAGAATAGTATTAAGTATTGTACATCGTATTTATCTCGTCGTCGTTGTCATGTGTGCTTACACATTTGCGTAATGCAAAGAAAGTTCGAAATAAAACTCTATATGACTTGAATACAATCCAGGCTACGACTTTCTGATGAAAATAGTTTTATTTCTCGTAGCGAGACCTTAAATGGGTTGTAGAAAGTAAAATATTTTATATTTTATTTACTTTTTACTAATTTTTATTCGCGATATCGTCCGTGTAACCGACATATGTTAATTGGCAGAGATAAATAGTAAAATACTACATTGAGCCCTTAAAGCACAAAATGGTAACAAACAAACAAACACAATTACATACATATCTATAAGTAGTAAGGATTTATTTTATATATACGTTATTTGCATTTGTAAATAACAAATATCCTTATCTTATAACTACCTTCAATTATAAATATTGTAGGTCTTATCTCTGAAAGAGAAAGGGTGCAGTTTTTTCTATTACGATACTACGAAATATCAGAAGGAAGTGGTGTGGTGTCGACTATAGAGTAGGCACGGCGTGGCCGCAGCGGCTGGCGTTGCGTTGTTGCGCATGCGCACTGTCAGTGCTGCCGGGCTTAGTACGCTGCGCACACGCCGCAAAAACCACCGCCAACATGAAAATTAGTGTACAACTCGCGTGTTCTCTGGCCTGTCTCGCTTTCGGTAAGAACTATATTTATTTGGCATGCCCTTGACAACTACTAATTAGTAAGAAAGAGATAACCTTAAATTAAACGCCGATAATTAACAAGTAATTCAGCAGTTAATATTTTAACTTATTTTTTTGTATTAAGCTAATAAATATTGATAATTCTTGTAAGGTATTTAATAATTTAAAAAAGTATTATATACAATATAGACGCTTGTCTATATTATATATAATATAATAGCTTTATTATATCATAATTAATTGTAAAAATCTGTCACCGTCATAGCGTCCTCCCTTCATTATCCTTTCATTAAAAGTCCTTCACTTACTTTGCTTTAAAAATGTTATTCTAATGACCACTAAATGTCAATCAATGTTTTTAAAATAAGGACATCAACATTTAGTTCAAGTTTTTCACAAGCTTTACGTCTTTATCTGATATGAATAGTATGGGTAGTCTTAATTTAGATAGAGTTACTTCGATAAACACATGTCAAAAATAGCCTTACTTTTAGCATTATTTGTACGAATGAATTTGTATTATATTTGTCTTCATAATAAGGTATATTATGTGTGTACGTATTTACGTCAATAAAGATATCAAAACGTTTAATTACTACTTATAATACCAGAAAAAGAGCGCGTTTTGTATTGACTAATAAAATACGTATCAGCTAATATTTGGCTATTTTTTGGAACTTTAATAGCACTTAATACTCCATCTAGAAGTATAAAATCCATAGTTAATAATAATAATATTTTTTTAATCATTTTCTCGTATTATTTTACTATATTTGCGAGTAATAGTACCTACCTATTACGTGAAGTGAAAGTACAGAATGACCTAAGTCGTTTATAGTGTCCTTAACAACTTCGTAATCAATAATAGGCTGATATTTTGCAACCCTTTATCGAATCACAGCGACCAGTTGTATATTATACCAGTTAGTCCATTACATTATGAGAATACGCATAATTGACGGGCATATAATGAAAAACTAGTTTATCAAGTCAAAATCGAAACTAAACAGCGCGAAACTTGTCGTGTGTAAAAAAAGTTAATTACTGTTTTATAAGTCAAGTTGGCAACTATACATATTTAAACTTTATAAAATTTTGTGAAAAGATACCTCTTTAGTGGTAAAATGTTGCATAAATTATATATTACTAATTAAATTTTGTTCTACGCTGCCTCTTTTGAGGTGTGGTCACAAATGTTAGCCTTGTTGAATTACATTTGTATTATTTTTTTATTATGCATTGTTTTCCTTGGTTGTACTATATATGCGATCAAATGCAAATATAATATTCCATATTAAATAATAAAGCATCATCGCTGAGCGGAAACTACTTAATTAATAATACTAAATATAAAGAATTTTCATAAATATATCACCTATCTATATTCTTAGAGCCAAAGAACAAAGATTACTATTGAGATATAAGAGAGAAAGAGAGAGAGAGAGAGATAAGAGACTATTGTTGATTTGAAAGCTGGAGATTGAAACTTTGTGTCATCATTAACTTACAAAATGAAAAACATGTAACATTTTATGAATACAAAATATAAAAGAAATTTGCATAGTAGATCAAGTTACTAAACATTCCGACAAAATTGATCCTGTTTATACAGCTAATAGTTTTTAAGGCAGTTACTCAACCGAATGGAAAGGCAGCCGGAATCTGGTGTGTTGTATACGAAACTCAAGGCCCACGCCTGCACTGTGCGACATTAAAAAATACAATTTAGATCGGTCAAGTGTGTGTGATAATGTTTTATCAAGAAATATTAAATTACTATCTTTTGGCCTCGACTTCGTTCGTGTGATCGGGATATGTTTACTGACCAGGATGAAAAATAGCCTATAACCTTCTCGATTCCATTCTTAAATTTTCAATATGATATCTAATAAGTAATTTTTAAATATTAGTAAGGGACTTGGGAGTAGCGCGAGAGTACACGATTAAAAAAGTGATAATTGGAAATATTTAGGTCCCTTTATTCGATATATATAAATAATATATAGATACCCAGATTAACACGATGAACAATTTGTTAACGCTGAAATTTCAGTCGCCTAGCTGCTGTGTTGCATGGCTAATTTTCGATTTTAAGGTTGAACGGCCATTCCTGGTGTGACCTTGTCGAAACGAGGGGAAAAGGATTGTTAGTAAAGGAGTCTAGCGGCCCCGTTACTAGCAACATACTCTGTCAGGTCAACCTCCCCATGCCCCCCCCCTGGAAACCATCGTGATTAATTCTGATGGCCAACTGACCTACTTCATCCTCATCTAACATTTCTCACTAGTGTCCCGCCAGCGTTTACCGAGAACAAAGCGGATTTACCATTCCATTATCATTCATAAAAAATAGACCTGGTCGAAACATCAAGATAACTGTAGGTAAATGATTATATTTTCCCAATAAGACAATGTTAATAACCATCTTATTTATTTATTATTATAAGGCATTCATGTATATAATATAGAGTTGTGTTGGGTTAGCAAAATTATATTAATAGCTAGCTAATATACATGCATTTGTCAATTTAGATGTCAGATTATATTTATTTTACATATTCGTTCTTATTATATGTTCACTTTTAAATTTAAAATATAATAAAACAACAATTTAAAATATCATTGTTATAAAATATCAGTCTATATAATTCTTATAAAAAATACATTAATAATTCCTTATAACAGAAAATAATACAGTAAAAATAAACACGTAAATTTTTAAGTTATATTAAAAGGAAAAAATAGTTTATAAATTATTTATAGATATGATTATATATAAATCAAAATAAAGTGCTAATGATCTGTTTAATGATAAAATAAAACACGAAAAAGTGCTGCAAACAATATTTAATTTCCATTCTTTCGATCTTGTTCCACAAAAATCACTGATAAATTATATTTCAAAATTTTAAATCTGTTGTAAAAATAAAGGTATTATGAAGTAACGATCCTAAAATATACAACAGACGTGAGAGTCTGCTCTTTTTTAAAGTCGGTTGAAAATTCGCCAATGCGTATCTAAAAATCGTTTTTTTTTTTCATATACAAACTGTTTTTAACATAGGTATCGCTAACTATATTCGTCTTAAACAATTGTTACAAAATTAACACAAAGATGGTTGGTTAATTAAAAATATATACCTAAATTTATTAATAACTGCTTTTTGTATCTTGTTTATAGTCTTATAAAAATAAACGGGCTATAAATTTTCTTCGGTATTTACATACAATGATTTTATTTTTAAAAATTCACAAACTTATTTCGCAGTTCTTTTATTATCTGCCAGGTATTGTTATTTATTCCCACCTGACGTGAATTGTTATGAATCTGTTAGAACTCTGAGGTTGCCAATATTTCAACAATGTTAGCGAACTATACAGTATTGCTGGCAAATTAAATGACCAACATTTTTTATAGTTCTCTTTTCTTTTTTATATAAATTTTGTTTGATATATCTATTTTGACATTGTTCGTTTGTTATTTTCCTTATGGTAAACGAATTATTTATTCAAGAATCCAGTTTTATTTAGAGGAATAATGCAGCCACCATACATAGTTCTATGTTCACTTATAAATCATTATTATTAATGCATGTATTTATTTAATTTCTAGTCGTACCATACGTCTATTAACGTCATATTAATGTTCACGGGTCTATCCTCGTTGATGATTCTAGCGTATTATAATAAAATGTATATAATAGTGTGTAAAATAAACTATTAAATAGTAACGAATCTAATGGATACACATAATGTATTTAATCCATATTTATTTCATTTATTATTTTTATTAACAAATTTTGCGGGTGGCTTTTGCCATAACAGAATATTTGTGTTTTGCTCTTTTGAGGGACAAAAACATAAACTGAGTTGAGACCATTTGTGTTACTATAACACCCGCATGAAAGTAAAAAATTGTTACTTCTTTTATGTATTTTGCTTTTTTTTGTTATTCTTTTATATCTTTTTACTATGTATGTCTATGTCTGTTGTTGTTTGTGTGCTGTAAGTAATAAAAATAAATGATATATTAATCTATTAAACGCTATGACTCAACTTTACAGGAGAGTAAGAAACTGAAACAGAGAAGCAAAATGATACGTAGATAAAACATTTATGAATATTGTGAGCAAGGGCGGACTTATCTCTGAAAGAGTTCTTTTCCAGTCAACCCAATACAGTGAGAAAACATGCCGTTAGCGGACAGCTAAAGCATACAAACAACATTAACACTAATCAATACATAAGCTACAAATAAACAATTAAATAAAATTTTAATATATTTTATAACATTATAATACCCACCTACTTATATACCTAATAAATTTTTGACATGTAAATAATAAAAATGTAATAAAAGAAAAAGAAATAAACAAAACTAGTGCAGTGTAAACCAATAAAAAAATTTACATTTTTCCCTATTGTAATTACATATCTCTAAATCGTCACCATTTGCTGTGATCAATTCATTAAATATACGAATAGCATTCGATGCAGAAAAAAAAACTGAATATAATGACATATATAATTTATTACCCGCCAAATACTTTTACTTTCTAGTGCCAATATATACGTATATTTACTATTACTTGTTTCGAATTTTCGTTCTCATTCACTTGTGTAACTTTTTTACTTTATCGAACAGTCGCATTTAATGTGGTTTTTCCATATGCCCTTGTTTCATAATAACATATTTCTAGAAAAGTCGTTCAGATTACGTCACAAGTTTTTATTGCCAAAATATTACATTAAACCACTTTAAATTCAACAATTTAGTTTTGATAGCAATATATTAAGTTTACAAAAATAGGTATTGTTATATAATTAACGGACAATAATGCATCAAGTATATATTTATTTATACCTATATCATAATGCTGTAAGACTACAATATTGTATTATTTATAATTATTTGGGAAAATTAGACGTTTCATTAGATAATATTTACTAAACACTGTTTAACAATAAAAAAAAAGTAGTATTATAATCTGCG